GAAATAATGAATTTCACACCTTCACATGTCTAAGCCTGGGGTTTGCAACTTTTTGCAAATTGCATTAAATCTCTCTAAGACTTCCTCCCAAAACACTATTAATATTGCGGTTTCTAGCTTTTTTGAGTTATTGTATATATTCTGAGCATCTTTTCGAAAGTCGAGCTTTTCATTTGTATTCTCACTAAGGTTTTTTATCTGTTTGTTAGTATTTTGTGTTTTTGGTTTCGTTGCAACATTGTTATCTGAAATGGAACGCATATGTTTTTTTTGCATATTTTGATAGAGCATATTTCCTTCTATCTGATGAACATATCATATCATAAGGTTGTATAAGAAGAAACTAGAGAAAAATTGTATTTTCTGAATATACTAAATCAGTAAATTAGAAAGGGGGGCCCTGGGCTGCAGCCCATGAAGCCCATACCTAAATCTGGGGCTGCCCTTATGGTGAAGAAATAGATATAAAAAAGTGGAATGTGTTGGTCATATCCTAAAACGGATGAGGACGCTAAAAACTACCAGATGGAACTGCCCTAAGTGACAGAAATAGAATTGTTTACATAAAATATAAATTGATAGTATAAATTGTTTATATAGAAATAATTACGAAACGAACACAATAAAATATAGTTTTTACGTAAAATTTGTATAATAGATAGATACTACATCACATATTAAAATTGAATATAAATGAATTAATATTTAAACGTTACAGGTTAACATTGCAAAGTTATTGTAAAAAATAAATATGTTTCTGTGTTATAGTGTTATTACTATACCTTCATGTACAATCATAAAAAAAAAGAAATGAGCCGATTTTCATTAAGGCGATGTTACACGGTTTACTTCTGATTTTCAATTTGGATGAAACAACGAAATTGAATCATGTAAACATAAAAGTGAATCGTTCAATGTGATTGTGCAATCGCGTTGAAAGAATTAGGATGGTTTAATATTTTTACTATTGAAGTGAATTGCAGTTCATCATTCAACGCAAATGAAAGAGAATTGAACTTGTAAACACATGTATTGAATGATTCAGTACATGTTCATTGCAGTTAAAGAGTATGCTCCTACGTCGGGCCTTAATCTACCAACAAAAACTACAAAATGTTATGGTTCAGGAACGACTGCAGTCCATTACAAGCTCCCCCACTACAAGTTCCCCATTCAATTCACAGTCTACATACAAATATTTAATCTGCAAATTCAACATGTTCAGCATCTCAAACATCTTGGTCCGTGAACTCACCAGACTATATTATTAAAGAACAATTTGAAAGATTAACTCAAAATTCGCCGACTTATCACACTCAGCTTACTCAACACTTACAGAACACACAACTCAAACACTTACAGAACAGTTTGACCAATATAATGAAAATAATGCTGCAATCAGCTATAAAATGCACCTGTAGATTTTATACAATATTAATAACAAATAAAATAAAAATAAAAGATAACAAATATAAATTGGTTGTTTTATTTATGTTACTGATTACCTTGATGTAATCTCGTAGTGCTATCCAGATAGCTTCACATACTTCTAGGATAAAAGAAGAAATTGTGCATCGGGGTACTCTGTATAATTGTTCCAATGATCCAAAACAATCATCAGTAGCAAAATGTTTGAGGACGATTTGCAATTTTATTCGTGCTGGTAAAGCATCTCTCATCACAGTACTTTCTTTCTGCATTAACGGAGTAACCATTTTTAGAAGTTCTTCAAATTTTGTTTTATTCATTCGAAGATGATATGAATCTGGGTCCTCTTCTGGCAATTCTCTCAATAGACAGTTTGAAGCTCCCAAGGTCTGTCTTCTTAATATCCATGGTCGTACCCACCAACGCCTTATATTTCTTTGCTTCTTTTTTGTTAACTCCTTAATTAAATGATCACAAATTAATTACTATTTATTCCCAACCGTACAACCTGATTCGACGACTTCTTCTGCGTAAAGTGGGTTGAATAGTTCGTTTTGGTGGATACGTATAAACAGCTTATCTTTCATTTCTGCGCCTTTCAACAAAACTGAATCAATTTGGTTGAACCGTGTAATATTGCGATTAGTATGGACAGTTCACATTACATTTTTATTTTACAACCGAAGTTCGTTCTCGGAGAGATTTAGGTCAGGCGTTCGTTCGTAGTACGGCGGTACGTCGGGCTAACAACGACTCGTGTCTTAAGTGTGCATGTACAGGTGGGCAAATTTGGGTGTTACTATAGGCTGTCTCAGAAACTATAAGAGATACGAAAAAAGTAGGCGCCATGTCCCGGTCTCTTTTTCCGTGACTAATCCAATCCTATAAAGAGCAAATCTCTATATTCATTTGTTTTTAAGTTATAGCCAAAAAATCAAATTTTGGCGATTTCAAAAAATGCTCATATTTCGTTTATTTTTGAAATTATAGAAATGGGGTTAATGCATTCTTAAGACACTTTTTTGTGTAGAATATACTGCCGTTGAAAAATTTTAAACCTAGCTGATAATTTTTGAGATACAACATAAAGTTGTATTTTTTTAAATACAAACTATAGTTGATTATGATGTTACTGAAAAGGGCATATTTTTAACATTCGAATGGTGTATCGCACGCATGATGTATCTGCAGAAAATATGCGTTATTTTTAAATTCTAAAATATCAAAGATTACTCTTCAAATTTTTAATATAGTAGGCGAGGAAAACGCTAAATGCTACTTAGTTACTATAGCAACGGGACGTTTACTTGTCATTTCATTTATGAATTTTGCGAAACGAGTTTCCCGTTTAAGAAGTTCCGCATTATCTTTAAATAAAACGATAAAATTAAATATAGAATATATTGGAGTCCGTTTTGAAGATGATACATAAGTCTTGATATCCCCATTGAAACGGTGTTTCAATGGAAAGTCCGCTTCCAGTTTATGATCCCTAATTTTCATCCTTCTCACCCAATTTCAAAAGAAAAGATTGCTGATATCAAAAACCTTCTAAATCTTATGTTTGGGGAAAACTGGGAAAATACTACCGAAGATTTCATTCATTGATACCGAACTATTCTAACCTTACAACCAGTAAGTTTAGTAGAAGGTGACAGTCTGTGACTGTTTAGTTCCTGAAGTTGTTGTTCATATTTAGTTATTCATTAATTAATACATTTCTTGTATTTTTAATAAACAAACTTTACTTGCTACAAACAAAGTCAGGGATAAGATGCTGAAAAATTGAAATTAACTATTCAAAGTTTGTATTCGTTATTATAAAACCAACATTATCCTGAATAATGTTACAAAACCAACTTTATTCTGTCATATTCGTGCAAAACCATATAGCCACTAATTCAAAATTTTGAACATTACCACTTTCCATTTTGGAATTGAAAATTAACGCTTATTTTCTGCAAATACACCATACATGTGATACATCATTGGAAAGCTAAAAATATGCTCTTTTCAGTAACATCATAATCAAGTATAGTTTGTATTTAAAAAATACAAGTTTGTGTTGTATCTCAAAAATCATCAAATATGTTTAAAATTTTTCAACTGCAGAATATTCTACTTAAAAAAGTGTCTCAAGAACGTATCAATCTCATTTTGTCTAATTTGAAAAATAAACGAAATATGAACATTTTTTGAAATCACGAAAATTTGACTTTTTGACTATAACTTAAAAACAAAACAAGATAGTAGTTTGGTGTTTGCGGGATTGGATTTGTCTCGAAAACAGAGACCGGAACATGGCACCTACTTTTTTCGTATCTCTTATAGTTTCTGAGATAGCCTATAATAACACCCAAATTTGTTCACCCTGTACAGATATACATGGTGGAACGAGTAAAAAAAATTGAGATCTAGTACCTAAATAACGACGAAAATTTATTTTGTTGAAACCATATCTGGTTCAAATTACCTTCAAAGAGGTTTCACAGTGTAGGTACAATTTCTTTTCTAAGACGGCAGTGAAGATTTACATCGTTTCAGTATTTTACATTATGTCGATTTATATTCACACATAATGTAAAGGTTGCTTCGTCGGTAAAATATATCCACAATATTCTAATCTACGGTCGAAGTCGTCTTCAGTTAATTCTTGCATTATCTGAGTTTAGTATGGCTTAAATTTATTCTTATGTAATACATGCAAGATTACAGAATTGCGTACATCTTGTACAGTTCTGCAAGTTGGTCTTCAATAAAGCTTTTCATTGCATCTAATATTTTGTGTCATTCGTATCAGTATTTAGTCGATCTGTTCAACTAGTATTTCGATTAGCTTCCAGTTTCCTGAAAACGCTTTACAGTTTTTTGCACTATCACCACGTGGATAAGAAAACAATTTGGGTATGTATCATTGAACAGTTTAGCCATTTTACTATAAGATATATGACAGTAATTCGTTCTTTTTCATTTAGAACAATCTTAGAAAAACGATATACATACTTTGCAGAACTACAGTTTAAGTTAATAAAGTATTAATGTCATAGTGACAGCATGAATTAAGAAGAATTAATTGCTTTATATCTAGTTTGTATTAAGTGTTGCATTTAAAATACATAATGTCAGAAAAATAGTAAATCTGGTAACATTGCAAAACTCAAGTTTCGTATTTAAGAGTAAGTTAGACCCTCCTCCAAAGCCAAGTAATAAAGTTATTACTTTATTTGTTCGTTTGGGTCTTATATGTGTGACTTTGGATAAAATGATGACAATATTTAACCAAATGTTTTGGGAGATAATCATTTTATGACTATTTTGGGTAAGAATTCTTAAACACTTTTAAAAACCATACTGACACAAAAATATGCGCATACTATGAATAAGCAATGTAAAAACTTAGGACCTCTTTACCGTTTACAAACATAGTGACAAATTCAACAGTGATTAATTGACTAAATTAATTGACTTAATTCAGTTAACTGACTTGATTAATGGACGCCATGAATTATAAACAAATACATTTTACAAAAGCGATAAAAAATAATACTTTTATTTATTTTTATTATTTTTAGGTTTAAGACTTGAGAAAGATCGTCGACTGCCAACAGGACGGATAATAACAATGGCCGAAAAAGATCAGTTCCTATCACCGGCAACGACGCCATCATCGGTGACTGGAGACGACAAATATTTACTGCCATACGCTCACAAAGCGAAAAAACAAGAAAAGCTTCCATGGCACGAAAAATACAAACCGCCATACGCTTTACTAACTGCCAGTTTCTTAGAGGTAAACATAATAAATCTTCTGCCTTCAAAAATATACAGCTCTAAAATATTTAACAAAAATTTTATTTATTTTTCTTTTTAGATTCTAGTTCATGCTGTGATGAAAGACCAAACACCCTACTTAAGATTCGATCCGAACAAACAAACTCAAATCTGGCGATTCGTTTCGTATATGCTCGTACACGGAAGTTGGTATCATTTAATTTTAAACGTAACGATGCAGTGTCTTTTTGCGTTACTTTTGGAACGACAACAAGATAGTATTCGAGTGTTTTTGGTGTATGTCGGCGGGGGAATTATGGGTGCTTTAGGTGCTGCTTGTACAAGTCCCGATTTAGTTATTGGAGCTTCTGCAGGAGTTTATGCTTTACTTATTTCTCAACTGGCGGATGCGACATTGGTAATAATTCAATTTGTAATCACAAAAATAAAATTGATTCGATTGTTGTTGATTTATGTTCTCATTAAATGCCAGACATTAAATAACATCTGGAGTTTTGGCATTAAAGTTTTCTAATGAAACAGTTTATTTTTGATATAAACTCGTGAATGGAACAATAAATAATTGAAATTGTTGATGTTAGTTTAAATATAATTTTTTTTTTAATTTTCAGAACTACAAAGTGATTAAGTACAAGAAAACGAGATTTGTCTCCGTTGGAATAATCGTTCTCTCGGACATCACCTATAATCTTATTCATTTTAAGAACCAAGGTTTTCCTTCGATATCGTGGGGGGCGCATATAGCAGGGGCCGTGGCCGGTTTATTTCTCGGATTCCTTCTCTACAAGAATCACGGCGACGATAAACGACTCTCCGGAATTCTTTTTTATTTCGGAGCGGTTTTAACGGTTTTGACCGTTTTCGGTTTAATCCTGGTCGATTATCAAGTGAGAAAATGCACGCCGATGAATTTAATTCATTCTCGGTATCTTTATGTTTGTTAGTACTTACATTTTCGGATCTCAAGTCTCTCTCAGGTGTCTCTCTGTTATCGTTAAAATTTGGAATTAATCAAAACTAAAATATTCTAGTCAGAACTAATTTAATTAAAACTAGAATTGAATGAATATTAATAAATTACATAGTTAATGTTAGATCAACATGGTTCAGATTAATTTTGGATTTTAACGGTAACGTTTAGTAACTAACAAATAATACAAATATCTTGTGCCAAAATATCGATGTTAAGAAAACAGATTATTTTTTAAAAGATCATGGCTAATTGATGTAGATTTGATAAAGATTTTTGATAAAGACTGATGAATTGAGTTGTTAAAGTGCCTCGTTTCCTCATTCAAAAATTGTATTCATTATCACCTGATGTATGGATGTACCTATTGAAAAAAAGTTTGTTGATCTCGTTTTTGTTGAATATAGACACTTTTGTCAAAATAATTTTTTTACTTCGTATGTTATTTATTTCTTATGTGAATACTATGTACATATTTAAATGTTTATAATAAACGTTTTATTATTATATTATTATACTACCGTCTAATTATTCTAATTGTAATTGCATCTATTCTATGTATTGTTTTTATCGTGTGTATGAACTTTGATAAAGAAAAAAATCTCGCATTGTTCCGTTTTTTTAGTGATTTTTTAATACAATATTTGTAATAACAACACATACAATAAATCTTCTACTATAATATCTATAAATTAATTTAATTCTACATTTCACCTATTTTTTCTTAATTAAAATAAATACTTCTTACTTATTCAAAATAAAAATAAATCTTATTAATTACTTAGCCTCTATTATTTTTGTTTCTATGTCAAAGGATCACGCAAAATTTCATTTTACTGGTATTGTTGATAAATAAAGAATTATGACTATTTCAATAATGGTAATATTCTCTTTCGCGTCGCTATAAAAAACTGTAGTTAACAAATAAATTCTTCATCCTGTTGCATCGACTTTTAATAAAAAAATAACCACCAATAATACGTAAAGAATAAATTCCAAATGTCCGAAAGATAATAAACGGGATCAATTTCTTTTATAGTGTATCTTTATCACAGACTGAAAAATCGTTCGGAATTTATTATAGCCGAATAATTGGTAGTTTCGAATTGAACCGATTAGAATTTGAACAAAAAAAAATGGCACTATTTCCATTTTATTCGGTACAAATTCTGGTTCAACATAAATCTTTGCATTGTACCCCAACTTCCGTACATTTACATTCTAAACATGGACCAGATAATTCTGAAATTATCCTTCCTACCCTATACATTCTTCCATAAATATTACATCCAGCCAATTTTAACAATCCAACTCCGGGTGATTCACTCGGTTTTACGTAATTTTCACCGGTTTTAACTTTTTCTTCATTAATTGGTTGATTAGTTGTAGAAATCGTCGTTGAAATCTTTACAAATTCAGGTTTAGAAGTTGTTATGATTGATTCAGAATCACTCAATAACGACTGGAATATTTTATCTAACGAATACTCGTCGTTTTTTGAAGTAATTGGAAACGGAGTTGTTGTTTGGGATTTTCTTTGAATAAAATTTTTCATATCGTCTCTTAAAATGTTTAAATTGGGAGCTGGTTCTGTACGAATAACATCTTTAAACGGGTTTTGAGAAATTATTCCTTCAGCAACCGTTACAACTTCTTTTGGACTTGATGTATCTTCAATTTGTTCCAATAATGATGAAGGAATTGATTCATCATCTACAAAAAATTAAATATATTTTACCACATCTTGAATTAAAACAATTATATTTACCACATATAATATGTGGACAACATGTTGTTCTTTCTAAAATTCCCGATTCTCGACACCCAGGTTTTAAAGGTGGACAGTTGTATTCGTGACAAATTACATTACCAAAGAAGCACTCGCACACTTCGCATATGTTATTGGAAGGTATTGTTTCGCCGTGTCTATATTCGTTGAGTTCATGGAGACAACTAACTAAAAAAATAAAAATGTTTTTAATGCTTTCAAAGATTTTTTAAAAGTTTTTACACATACATTGTCAATGGTAATTATTATGCGGGTAAAGTGTTAAATGGATCAAATTTTCGTTATAGAGAAATAGCCAAAACAAAGTAAAAAGGTTTTCAGTTTGAAAAACGAAAACTTCTTCCTTACATCAAATTGAAATATAAATTACATCGTTTTTGTGCATTAACTTTAAGCATATATATATATGTCTAAATTGATAAGAAAGATTTCAAGGGCTGATTTTTCAGCAAAAATTAAGGGGTGTCTTTCATATAACTTTTTGTTCAAAACCCCTTCTCCTCCAAGTTATAGCCCTCTAAAGTTAAGAGAAAAAATCTGCAACTTTGTTATCTCTTGATATTTTACAACTAACAAATTGTTTAAGTACGAAGACTTTCACGGCCGGTGTTAATTGAACTAAAATTAGAACTAAAACTAGAACAGTTCAACTAGTTCAACAAATTGTGAGTTTGATCACAAAAAATAAAATAATGCTGAGATCAATTTGACATAACTTCATTTCTTTGACTAATAATAACCAATCTCGGAATTAATTCACTTGAGCCTGTGTATTATTTTATTTTTTGTGATCAAACTAACAATTTTACAAGAAAATGTCAAGAGACAAAAAAGACAAAAAGAATCGTGACACTTTGTAAACTCTGGGGACAATATTCGAATCTATTCTATATGAATATAAGATAAAATGGGTGTACAATGATATAGGCAAAATGAGTCTTTAGTTTATAATCAAACCGAAATCACGACTTTGAGCGTCTACATTTGGATGGAATAGAAGTACTCCTTTCTTTTCGGGTATATTCACAGCATTGATTAAACTTTTGATCATTGAATAATTGATAGGGTCCCGTACCGATCAACACGATGAACTTCACCGATAGTCAAGTTCCCGCCTGCTGAAACTGATTCTGCAGCTCCACAAATGATTTCCTATCTCATCGGTTGCGGATTATTCCCCAATGCTACTAATTGATCCAGAGATCTGGATTCTCTTCGATGCTCGGATTAACTTACTACAATCCTAATTTGATCATGTCCCGGCGATGGAAGTAGTTGCATGAAGTAGCAAAAGTTGCGGTCACCTTTTCGTGCACCTAGAGTTTTGGTACGTAGGTGGCATGTTAAATAAACATTCCAAAAGGAAATTTATTGCAATCTGCCATTAAAACATGATGAATTATCGAACAAGTTTTTGGAAGACTGAGATAGAAGTTTGAGGTCTATACCTTACGGGCTCATAATGCGACATTAGAGCATCATTATGAAACACTTTTGCATGATTGAATTTGCTTCACTTTAACGTTCCTCGTTATTTGAAATTGACGCTTTATTAATTATTTGTTGTGCATATTTTATGTACTTAGTACTGATCGAAGACATAGAACAGCGGTTTTTGATTAATCTGATTACGACATAGTTCAATATCCATTGTTAATAAAAGCATACATAAACTTTCGTTACCGGTGTGGTAAGTTTCACCAAATTTTTATTCTGATAGATAGAGAGAAAATAGAGGTAATAGAAAACGAGAGTGGTTGCTAAGTGGTTGCTGTTTGTATCTCTAATATTTTCAATACCTTAATTTAAAGGATCTCTTCCAGAAATATGAAATATATCTATAACGATTTAAACTATAACAAACTTTATGCGTTTGTGAATCTGCAAAAGCGTCACAAAAACTAAATGTATTAAACCTTATTGTAGGACATCGGCAACATTTCTTATCAAAATTATGTCTTGGTCACATCTTGTCTACTCTGGAGCATTCAGAAAAGTTGTCAGTTATCAAATCTTCAAGAAACTGTTTATTCAGCTTCTTTTTTTTGGAGTTGCTATTTTGGCTGATTGAGTAATTTACAACTGGTTTTTCTCATCTTCATTCCTGTTCACTTATGATTTTGATTTCTTTGCCGTGATTTTTTCCTTAACACCTTTTTCTAGTCTATTATATAAATAACGTAGTCCGATTTCGAATAGTCCGGATACTTTACAGTCGGTATTTATATTTAAAAGGATTTTAATTTTTCTGGAGTTCCGCATAGTATGCTCGATAGGGTTTCACTAAATCTCAACTTCTAACTATGAACTCTATAAACCACATAGCTACATTTATCCATCCATATTGAGTGCTATCCCGAAAACTAATGTGTTAAGTGATCACTGTGAAGTCACTGTGACAGCAGTTGCGAAGGGTTTTCTTTTTTTAATTCGTCTTTATATGTTTGTGCCATCTTGCTGTATTGAGTAGATGGGTGTGATATCTATGCTATCATTATATTTTGAAGTAATTAAGCTAACCACAAAGTTATATGAGTATAACATTCAGTAGCCATTATAGACTTTAAGAATTGTTCCCTTGGTCGTCTGGTTTTTTTGAAAGTGTAATTTTTTTGATTATTTTAATGGGGCACTTTTTTTGTGTCTTTTATCTGTGCATTATTTGATTCGGCGGGTTTATTTTTATATATTATTCCTTTATTGCAACTTTGTTTTTGTTTAAGTCACCTACCAGCTCCTTTCCAACAGGAAATGCTTTCCCGCAATAATAACAGGTTCTAGGTTCTCTTTCTTCTTCTTCTCTTAATTATACGCATGCTACCACATCGTAATAAGTTTGAATCTCATCATAAGATTTTTGGTAGTTGTTTATAGCACCATTAAGAAGGTGTGATACTACAAAATGTTTTCCCAGTACTCTTTGATCCCTGTGGTATAAACCTCTACAAAGAGTTAAAATTTAAGTTAGTAAAGTTAAAATGGGCAGCAAAAGATATATTACATATTTTAAATTAGCAAGTGCAAATAAATTCAGTTATCAAGGAGTATCAGGAATATCGCGCAATAGTCCAGTCCTTTTTCCACCTCCTTTAGCTATGATTTATGATGGAGCATCAAGGTATAGCGGGTATAAGCCCGATAGAACTTTAAATTGAAATTAATAACAAAAAATTATTTTGTTTGAAAGATCAATACATTCAGATTAACATTTGAAAATAATTTCGGGCATATGGGCACCGCGGCTATTCTTAACGAAGCGCATTTTGGACGTTCAATTTTGGGCCGCTTTTTCGAACATTGTTGGCCGTATGTCACGTATGGCCTCCAAGGCGTTAATTGTTGCTGATTTATCAGCATAAACCAATGACTTCGCGTGGCCCCACAGGAAATAATCGAGAGGTGTTAAATAGCACGACTTTGAAGGCCAATTGACAGGTTCATTTCTCGAAATCAACTTATCGCCAAATTTTGATTTCAATAAGTCTATGGTTGCGGTCGCCGTATGGCACATACCGCCACATCTTGCCCGGATCAATGTCATCCATGTTTTCAAACAAAAAATTATTGATTATGGTGCAGTAACGATCTCCATTGACCGTAACGCGAGCTCCGGCTTCATTTTTGAAGAAATCATGCCACCAGCGTGCAAACCACACCAAACGGTGCATTTTTCTGAATGTAATGGGGTCTGTTATGGATTGGTTTCACTCCATATGTTTTTGTTTATTAACAAACCTCATCGCTGAACACAATTTTGCGATAAAACATCAGAGCAGTTTCCAACTGCTCTAGAGCCCAATCGGCGAAAGAACGACGCATATGATGGTCTCTTAATTCCTGCACCAGCTGGATCTTAAGTGGGTGTAGGCCAAGATTTTTACGCAAAATTTTCCACGTAGTGGATGGACAGAGCCTCAATTCCTGCGGTTGACGACGAATCGATTACTAGGATCTTCTTCCACACTTTCGTTTACACCGGCGAGATTTTCTTCAGTACGCACATTCCTTCGACGTGTTGGTGTTATTGCATCATTTAGAGAGTATGTGGTATGAAATCTATCCACAGTTCGACGAATGGTTTGCTCAGATGGACGATTATGTGCGTCATACAAATTACTAAGTCGTCTATAAGTTGTGCGAATTGATGACTGATTTTCAAAGTAAATCTGAATAATTTGGTAGCGTTGTTCAAGCGTCAATCTATTCATAATGATTTGCCAGAGTATACTGATCATAAATATCAAAAAATGGGCGCTGTATGACAGTTCGTTTAACAGTTAACCCTTTCGGAAGTTCTATCTGGCTTAAAAAAACACCCTCTACTATCACTGTCTTGCAACAAAGTCGGCGAGACACCACTATGGTAGGGTATACTGTGATTTTGCCTTCTACAAATCCATACATAGTTTTGAGATTAAGTATTTATTGAAGTGTCAGTTTGAGTATTGCAAGAATCAAGAAACCCATGAAGCAGATGTAAAGTAAAAGAAAGTGTATCTATCTAGGAAGTAAACATATCGATACTGAACATATGATAATCTAAAGCTACGTCCACTCCGAAGGGCACAAAAAGGAACATTCTATTTATGTTGCTTGTTCCTGGAACTTCTATCTGAAAGTTTCTGGATGTTCCTTATTGTTTATGGTTACAGAAACAAATGTTCCTACAAGTTGCTTGTTTCCATATTTAGCGATAAATACCATTGGGAAATTTAAAAACATTTGTAAACATTTTTGTTTCAGACGCAGTGTGAACACGTTGCAACTTGTTTCTAAAACTTGTGTGCCGAGTAGCGACATTTACAGCGTAAATATCTGTTAAAAGCAGAAAATATATCGTTCCAGTGGTCTACCGAAAATATTATATATTTATTGAGATATACAAAAATGCCGAGTGTCACGGGATAAAAATTTTAAAGATCGTTAAGATTTGTAAAAATCACATTGTATTCAAATACTGAAACATACACTAACCTGATGTAGACAGAGAAAGTTTCTTGTTGCGGCAACACGGTGATGAGTGACTAAAATGAGTTTTCTTGGTGTGGTCAGAATATTTACGATAAATTTATTATTATGTCTGCATCCTAAACAGGTTACGACAATCAGGAACAAAATGTTCCCATTTCTTTGGTGTGGACATTAAGATTTATGAAGTTAATAATCTGCTTGTTTCCGCTTTCAGAAGAACACAAAAAGAATTATTTATTTCAAATTATTACCGATTTATTCAGTTAGTTATGAAATATAAGCTGGAACTTCAGCGAGAGTCATAATTGGTTTGGAATACATTCAACAGCTACAGAAAATGGCACAAATCCGATCAAACTATAAATCATTATAAAGAACAATCTCTAAGCTAACAAATTCTGGTACTAACAAAAACCAAATTTGTTCCTGAACAAATGAAAAACAATTTAACAATTTATCAAACAATATGGAAAAAAATTAAAGTAAGATTATTATGAGTTCATTATGTGTTACTAATTCCTTCACACTCGATTATTACATCTCCAAACACCTCTATATACAATATTTAAATTTACCTCCACTGAGTTTGCTACGAAGTGGTAAAGGAGTAATAGCTTTCGTAATAGCTGTAACAGCATTTCCATCTAAACCTGATGTATAAGGATCATAATAATCTTCAATTGGTGGTGGATCTTTTGGAACAAATCCGCCTAAAACAAATAATTAAATTCTATAGCAAATTTACTCTAGGTTAGTAAATCAACAAACAACATTTATATTGAAATTTGAATTTTTACTTTCTGTTTTATTCGGTGGCGTAAAAGAATTGAGTGCATACGCAAAAAGAGTATCTGTTCGATCTTCAAACGGAGGATACACAATTTCGGTCTTCGTATCCACAGCATCAGATGGTAAAAATGGTATGATTCTGAAACAAAACCACAAATTCATAACAAATAAATTCATTCACATTAACATCAATCTAATCACTTACTTTAAATTAGGTAATGACGGTGGTAAAGTTGGTTTACCATAGTCATAATCGTCCTTATCTTTTGTTAACACCAAAGCGTCGACCGATAATTTTTCCAACGGATGCATCGTAACTGTCGACACTTTCACTTTAGATTCTAAATCGACGGTGGTCACGTCTTCCTTATGATCTAAATGAAGATTAGAGTGATTCGAAGATTCATCGCTTTGTTGATCCGAATTTTCGATACAATCTGTCGAGTTTAAAACGGATTTGATTGTTGTAACTTCTGAATTAAAAATCGTCTCGGAATATAAAGTTGTAGGAAATTCAGTTGAAACTATTGACGTATCATCATCTTTCTTAATATCGTTTTCGTCATCGTTAAATAATTCCTGAGTAAATAAATCGAAAATTGTTGAAGCTAACATGGTGGCGTCTCCAATCTCCGTTGCTTCTGTATGATTTTGATCTGTTGTTACTAAATCTGCGGTTTCAGTAGTTGGAATTTCAGTTGTGGTCGTTTCTTTAACTTTGTTTAATTCAAATGTTTCAGCGGGATTTAATTTCAGATTTCCGTTTAAAATTGAATTAATATGAACGTGATTTACTGGAATAGAATCTATTTTGTGATACTTATTATTTGGTCTATAAACGATTTCTGGATAAATCTTTGTTGTAACATCATTAAGTTTAATCATATCCTCTATTGGATTAAGTTGTGGTTTAACTGTGCTTGTATCGATAATATTTCCAGAAAAATGTCTTGTTGTTCCAAAATATCCTGATGTTCTTTGCGGTTTTGCCGTAGCTACGTTTTCATATTGAAAAATATGATTAGTGTCCCTCCGAGTAGTTGCTTCTTTTCTTAACTTGGCATATTCTTTGCTCATAATTGGTATATTATCGTAATTAACTTCAGGGCGTGCCTCTATGGTGCCACCTTAAGAAAAAATCCTAAGAAATTATTTTAGATTTTTATGACATTTTCACTTACTGCAGTTATAACTGGCAGCACAACATTCTCCAGGCCTAATAACAGGGGAACACCCAAGAAGTGGAGGTGCACAAGATAAAGGTTCACATCTTACCAAACCTTTTATACAATAACAGTTATCGCAAGCTGAGTGACCAACTCCTAAGATTTTATGACCATTAGGGTGGTAAGTCCCAGATACAAGGCAACTATCTAATAAAAATAAATAGAGAAGTAAATTTTTTAAATGGAACCTTTTCTTTTACTTTCAAGAATTTTTGGTGGCTGAGTCGTGGTACTTGTTGTTGTTTCGGTATTTTCACATTTATAATGAACAGGACAACAGCTACTCGAATGATACATTGGAGAACATCCATCGATTGGCAGAAGGCATTTCGGTTTAACGCATCTTTGTTTTCCCGCTAAACAATAACAATATTCACAATATGATGAAGAATCCATCGCTGAACCAGGAGCATAAATTGTTCCATTTGCTACACAAGCTACAAAAAAACTATATAATTTAAAATGTGATAATTTCTTAATTTACCATTTGCAAAATAAGCTAGATGTTCACTTTCAATTTCAAATCCATCTTCTTCAGACCTCGCCAAAGGATTATATTCTAACTTTTGAGAATCTATAAAAAATTTCTATTATTATTGAAACTAAACATTAAAGTCTATTTTTACCGTGACAAATTAAGTCCGGACAACACGTTTTATATCTATACAAAAGGATACAACCAGGCGGTGGAGGATTTGGTAATTTTGGGCACACCCTTAAATAACAAAGTAAAGTGGATCTGCTGCAGGTGCAGTTCAAACAAGGCTCCGCGGTCATAACTTCTTCGCCCTCACCGTAACTTCGGTTACCTTCGTAACCTCCGTTGTACCAGCAATCTGGAAAATACACGCCCATTACGCACGAAGAAGTGAGTACTTAAATAGTTTTGCATAGCCACGTAGCAAAAAGTTAATTACCAGAAAACGCTTATTCGGTCGGAGGTAATTACGAAATTCGTAAGTTACAGTGGTACTCGCTCAAACGTCCGAAGGCCGTAAAAGCCTTGGGAAAACGTCGATGAGAACTGGTTGAAGCATGCCACAAAAGCTACGTTTAACTATTCATCTAAGTACCATTACTACTAAGGAGTTGATTTCAAGAAATCTTTTTTGTATTTGATACGGTACCTTAAAGCTTTGATCTTTCGAATCTTAATCGTTTTTATTATATTTTTAAGATAGAAAATGTGAAATTTAATTCTATTTAATCGATGAGTTAAGGGAGTTTGATTAATACATAAACGATCATATCTTTAATTAAACAGTAATTAAAACTAAGATTTATTACTATGGGCTTAGTCGAAAATAGGACTAAGTAAGTGCAATTTTGCCCAAATTGAATAATCAGTTCTATCTTACTAATTTGACAATACTCTTTACAATAAAGTATTGGTATATCTTCAATAATAATTGGTTAGAGCAGACTTTGACTATTAAAATGTAAAATTAATCAACATTAAAGTATAACATAGTTTTCAAGTTGTTCAATAAAATACATGTTTACAGATTCAATACGGAAATCTCCTCAAAAATAAGTTCATTTTAAAGATATAGAACAAAAATAAAAATATTACTTTCTACCCCAAAGTTAGCCATTTCTGAATGTCTTCAACAAAGCTTTGACAAAGTATTTGTGCCATAGTTAGCATCTCTTAGTAAACATAAACCATTTTTAAGATTAAAGCCAATAGAATATCGAACATAAAGATACAGTTCATTTGAGGGACTCCTACGGATGCTGATTTAATCATTTTGTAATGATTAAAGTACTGCATGTCTATCCCCCTTTTTTAGGACAAGAAATGCATGACGTAATATGATATGCCGACGTCACTTGTAGCCGAGGTGCTCAAGAACATCAATGCTGACAGTATTATAACATAAAGGATTTTTATTATCTCGCATATGCCGAGTATATAAAGAGAAGATATTGAAATGGTGCATTAAAGATCGATATTATTAATGTTTTAAACGGTCTTAATTCCACTTCGAACATTTAGTACGGGCACTTGTATGTAACACAATAACTATGTACATACGATAACTCTAAAACGAAGCTAATGAAATATTAGAATTGGGATAGAATTGAGTTGTATGAGATGGCGTAAATGAATCTCCAATGTTGATTTACACGATGTTAATGGGTATTTGCCTCACGGAATAAAATAGTTATGTACATTAAGATACCAAGAACCAGAATGATCATAGTACGATTAAGTTTGAGATTATAAGTATGCTACCAGATGCTATTGCTTCGTTAAAATGTAAAGACTGATTTAACAGAAAGCATGTGATACAAAGATTCACACTAAAATAATTTGGGTTGGGTTGGGAAACCCAACCGTTTTAGGTTAGTATATCTGATTGATACCGCAGGGAAGCTCTTGAGGAGATGGTAAGGGTAACGAATGTAGGTTGTAAGCGAAAAAATAAAACATTGATACATGACGAGTAATGGACGACAGATCTAATCGTCCCACCTTAAATGCCAGTTCAACACATCTACTGCAAAATTTTTGGATATAACAAATTTTTGTACTTCTAAAGTTACAAAGCTCATTGAATATCGGTGGTATTTTGAGTCTCTCTCATTTGGGCCAGAGCTGCTAGGTGTATGAGGGTGTTTATTGCCCAGAAAAAAATCATTTTCTTTCAACACCTTAAAGGCCCGCGCTGGCAGATTAAAAGACCCCGAGAAGGGTGATCGAGCAGCCGCGGATGGAAACAGCTAATGTTCTAACCGCTGAGGAAGATGAGGACACTCTCGTCAACCTAGACGCCGACCCCAAAACCCCGGCTTCGACCAGGGAGTTGGATGAATCAATCGTGGATGCACCTCAGCCCAGAACAGCATCAGCTGATCAACTCGCCTCTTCGAAATGAACGAAAAAGGTGATGTATCTACCTTGTAGGTGACGAATTAAGGGTGGTGCAGTGTAACCTACACCATAGTAGGGCAGCAACTGCCACCCTTTGTCGCCACCTTGATATGATGATTAACACTGTCGCGCTGATCCAAGAACCTAGGGTTTTAAAAGGTCTGCGGTTTCAGTGGTTTAAGCGGTTCTATTTTTAGCTGCCCTGCCACTAATAAGGCCAGAACTGCCATTTACGTACCAAAACACGCAAACGCTCACCTGTTGCCTCAGCACACAGCAAGAGACGGTATCCGACAATGTTTCAATGTCGGACCATAGATGGATCACTTTCGATCTTGGTACCATAAAGATTGGAAAGAACCTAAAGCGTAACCCTAGAAGGACGGATGTGGACGTGTTCAGATCTTTGCTAACTGGGTGCTTGAGCAATATTGGGTTGAGTAAGCCAACTGAAAGCTTTGAAGTTGAGGAGTACCTAAATATTATTAGTGATTCCTTAATTAAAGCTTATAAAAAGGCCTGTGCCTCCGATCAGAGGCCGTCTCTGGGCGTGCTACCATTTGGTGGTGCCCTGAGCTACCCAAACTCAAAAAGGAGGCAAGAACACCCTTTAATAGAGCTAAAAACTCATAATTAGACTCTGACTGGAAACTTTTTAACGGAAAATTAGCGGAGTTCAAAAAAAGCGTTCGTCATAGAAAACGAGAAACGTGGAGGAAATTTTGTGAGGAAGTTTCCTCCTGCAACGAAGTTTCTCGGCTAAATCGGGTTCAGGCTTCAGACCTGAACCCGATTTAGCCCCTGAACGACGAATTGGCTAACTAAAAAAGGCTGACGATTCTTATACCGACAACCTTTTGGAGAGTCAGGTTTTTCAGGTTCCGGAAGTTCCGTGTGCTTACAATAGGACACCAACCATGAACCTATTGCAGATGATTGGATTTCAGCCGAAGAGATCTGCAGGGAGGAAAAAACAGTTTCTCGCCGTTCAAAACACCAGGACCAGACGGTATTATACCTGCCCTTTTACAATGGGGCTGGGAGAATTGAATAGTACCTCACCTTCTTGGAAATCTTCCAGGCATGCCTGACGCTGCGCTATATACCCAGTCGGTGGCGTGAGGTCACAGTGAACTTCATACCAAAACCGTGTAAGCTTGATTATTTCACACCGAAATCGTTTAGACATCGTTTAGAAATTGTTTAGAGAAACAACTTTCTCTGGTATTAACGATGCCTTGTTAGAGCATAATGTTTCACCGACTCTTTGTGGTTGGATTGAGAACACTCTTAAACATAGGATAGTTAAGCTTAGGATTGGCGATGTCAGTCTCCAAGGAGGAGTTACTCGAGGCTGTCCACAAGGAGGTGTACTATCCCCACTTTTGTGGAACGTCACCCTGGATAGCCTCTTGAAACGCCTCGCTGAAGCCAACTTTACTACAGTTGATTACGCAGATGATTTAACCATTCTCGTCAAAGGCAAGTACAGAAACGTGGTTTTTGATAGGATGCAAGTAGCTCTCAAATTGATAGAGACTTGGTGTGACGAACAAAGACTCTCTGTGAATCCTAAGAAGATAGAGTTGATTCTTTTCACACGGATGAGGAAGTTTAGCAAGCCCAGAATGCCATCCCATGCTAATACTCCATTGGTGTTGTCAAAAGAAGTCAAATATCTGGGCATCACACTTGACAATAAAATAACATGAAGAGTAGCTCTACGAACTGTAACGGGACTCGTCACGGGTCACTGTAAGGTAAACAAGCATCTTTACAACCTTATGCTTGCTGTTAGTCCTCTATGTCACCTCTGTGAAGAGAGCGAGGAGACGGTACGACACATCTTGTGTGAATGCCCCACTCTGCAAGACCTCAGTATGAGAGACTTCGGAGAGGAATGGCCGAGCACAGATGGCATCAGGAACACATCTCTGAGCTCTATCCTAGCCTTCGAAAATAAGGTTAGGCTGGTTGATGTAGCCGGAGAGAGTGCAGGAGGATGTACAAGGGGCCCGTTGGGGACTAGGTGCTGTATGCGAAAGCATTCCCTCCCCTTTCCTACATACATACATAATACTCTCATTTGGGGCAGAGCTGCTGGGTGTATAAGGGTGTTTATTGCCCTCATCAAAAAATCATTCGGGCCATATAGGGTCTCTAACTAATGGAATCTTGTTGTCCCTATTTTCGTACAGGAAAAAATTTTAAGTTTTCCATTTTATTTTTAAAGCCATATGTTTTGTGCGTAGTCACCTACACCGCTTCCTGGCTATGAGTATGAAACGAGAAGTAATAAATATTTGTTTTGAAACATCATTCCTCAGCATTGTTCGAGAAGTCGCCATTCCATTGTTTTGTTAAATTATACAATAAACTGCTTACCTCGCTTAATGTAGTAACTAAATATGAAAATTTTAAAAAGAAGGTTAAAGGTTTTTAAAGAAATGAGGCGTATTACACGGTGCAAGAATACATGGAGGCCTGACATATTTATAATATTTATAATTAATTTTTTGTTGTTTTTTAAGATGATGACCAATGCTGCTATGAACTGCTAACTTGTTGGTTAAAATAAATTAATATTATTATTCTTACATTGGACGAGAAACTTTGAAGTACTGATACCAATACCAAAACGTCTAGAACCAGCAAACATAGAATGCAAGGCACTGATTTACTTACATCCAATCTATCGGAACCGATTGAAGCTAGATGAATAATAAAGATGAACAATGCTTATCATTGTTTATCGTTCCAAAGAATGGAACAAGAGGTGGAAATGTCATCCAGATCACAAAATTTTATACCTAACGCCGAAAGCTGCATAACAAGAAAATGAGTGAACAGATCTTTTCAAAACCTAATCAATAACAGTTCATGGTTTATACGGAGAGTACTTTAAACATGAAATGAAAGATTAAAACGATAAATGCTTTGTGATCAAAGTGATCTTAG